TCCCAGGCACTTATAATCCATCCACCAAAGACCTGGTTTTTTTGTTAATGCGAAGACAATACTTCTGTATTTCCTGTTGTGTTGCATTCACTGACAATCTAGCAGATTTTTCCAACTTTGCACAGAAATGATTGTATATAAGTGAAAAGACTGTTTTATACTACTGGGATTAACATTTATCAAGTGTATGTATAATCTCCAGCGAACATGTAAAGCATATATTGCTACTTACTGTCTGTAAATTGTGATTGAATTATATGGTTCTTTTTCTGTAACAATTTGGTGATGCCTGTAAACTTGCGTCCCTCATGTAATGTACTATTAGAATAAATAAATTTATTTATTTATTTCAATTTTTATAAGGGTGTTTATGTTACGGACACCAGTATTATCACAATTCTTATGCAACTTCTCTTTTAGTCTTTTGGTGGTTGACGGTATCGACGTTCGCGAACTTTACGGAGTATACTAACGCAAGATCTTATACCAACAACTTCTAAAGTGTTCGCTCTTTGAGTACCAAAGATAAAGCAAAAGACCAGATTTTGTCGTCCAAAGTACGTATTATATTTCGGGACAAAATCGCGGGTAGAGGTGAATGCTTAGCTAGCTAGTAATCGTGCACGCACTTGACACGACGGAGTACCAAATGGCAATGATGCTTGACCGGAAGCCTTCAGCTAAACAAGTCGACTTAAACAGTGATGGTCAGCATCCAATGTTGAGTGATGATTGCTGTGGTCAATCTCATCCTGTCACATACGTTAGGTTGTTTGAAAGGATTCTGAGGTAGTTTATTTAGAATCCTGTTTCAGTAGCAACGAAAACTGACGTTACTGTAGGTTGTCAAGCATGGGTCTCGGGAGAAATTTTCAGCCGAAAACTTGTGAATGCATGAAACTGTAAGGAATTTGCGGAAGGTTTTAAAGTATTATCCTCACTTCAAAAGATGCTTAATGATTTCGGGGATTATACATTTAGGAAGCAGACAGCGTTCATGATATGTAGTTCACTCTATGACCAGTTCCTATGAATGTAGTGAAGATATATTAGGAAGAGTTAAAGGAGGAAATATTCAATGCACGTACATCGATGTAACTTATTCCGCTAATTAATTATCCATTGAGGCTTAAGGTTATAATAATATTTAATTTATCGAATTTGTTTATCGGCTAGAGAGTGGTCACATATGTCTATACCGTCTTAAAGTTCTATAATCAAATGTGAATCGTTTAATTCTGGTAGCCAGTTTCCTCCATAAAGAGCGCGTAGAATTATTACGTACCAATGATTCATTTTTATCGAGATTGAAACTATTCTGCTCAGCTAATAATATAAGCATATGGCCTTGCTGTGATAAGATCTGAGAAAGGAATCCAAGTCAGCTTCTACCAGCACGAAGAATTACGCGCGTAATATATATGTTTCGCTACTATGGGAGGTGGTGAAGGCCATGATCATCATGCCGATGTGACTAGAGAAGATCTTTATAAAGAATATTCACCTAGCTACGTCGAAAGGTTTAATAAAGTACTGGGATCATTCTTTGACAAGCCTGTGACATTGTTTCGCGGTAAACTGTAAAATCCCTTTGTTTATTTTCACAGAACAAGTTGTTGAGAGATTTCGAAAACCATATCCATATTATCATAAACGATTCCCTCGTGTCCCAACAATAGACCAGTGTCAAGTCAACGATTTGGCATGCATACAAGAGGCCAATAAGCAGTATTTTCGTGATCGGTTGGTTTTTTCAGTAATATTCATGAATTTGTACTTAATGGCACCATTCCGAAGTTTTTGTAATTTTTGTTAACATTGAGACCCCTAAGTGGGTATGCAGTAGTCTCATAGATACTTAATATATTTTAACAATGAGTAGGGTTTTAGCCTGGAAAAAGATTTACCAAGACTTCTTTAGCGTAGGGCTAGATTCCTCCTTGGTATAATTGTTTAGACTTGTGTATATAGTCCTTCAGCTTTTGACTTCAATTTCGAGTTAAGTGTCTTAACTAATGGGTATTCTGTCTGTATTTCCCCATAATTCTATAAGTTGAACGTTGTAAAATAGTACAGTAATCGGGAACCAACTCTGAATATACTTAAGGGAATAATGTACTGACAAATAACTATTTGGATGCTTGTTCATTAGACAAATTTTCCTAATCGTTTCTCCACTACATTTTAACTTTTACCTGTGACTCACTTGTCTCTTTTGTTAAAGGTTTAACAATGTATTCTATATTGTGCTAACGTTTATCATATCTGTAAAAACCTTATATTTGTAAAATCTCAGCGATATTGAAATAAGTAATTCCAACGTTTCGTTCGGCAATCTGGTCCGAACTTCTTCAGGGAAATTAATCAAAATTAACATAACAGAGGTTTTATATATAAAAGGCACATCTTTTTAAAAACTTTGTCCAATCATGATTCATAAACACAAGTATTAACAAGTATAATAAACAAAATTGTATTAGCTGTGATCAAAATTTGACCTCGGACTTACAAATATTGGTCTACCTTTGTTAAATACTTTAAACAGAGTGTGCATGCGTGTGTCTACTTCTCACTCATCGCCCAAATATTTTATTCGGTCAAATCTTGACGACAGTTCATTTGAGTTTATCATATCTAGTAAGGTATATGTATTTTGGTCTTGAAAGATAGTTAATTGATACCTACTGTTCTAAGCTTTCCATCCATGCACATGGTTCAGGGTTCGACCCCCTGCCGACGCACACCTGATATCTGTGGTTGGCCTGCAAAATTTGGGCTACCGATATCACATACTGAAAATTCCATACCTGTACCTAGAATACGGTGTGGCATCAAGCTGTAATCGAAAAATAAAAAAATAATATTAAAAAACAGTACTTTTTTAATTATTAGTTTGTTAGATACATTTGAAATGTAAAGATTCATATCGTTACCCGTATGCACATGTGTACAGATTTGAAAGTCTAATTATGTGGGGTGGATTTTGAAGTTCTGAATAGTTCCTTGGTTATTTTCTCGTTGTATGAAACCTAGTCATGAAGTTTTACCTTCTAATATAGTTAGGGGACTCCTGTATTTAGTGTTGTCAGATAGACTTTTATGCTCAGCCATACAGCACCATCGGTATGTTTCTAGAGCTTATTCTTAGTGTATCCTGACTCGACGCTTTTGTCAATATGTATGTTCCAGTGCACTTGCCTTAAAATTGTTTCTAATACTACTTAAAATACGCTTTTTACTAATTGTTATACGATAATTTTTGAGGATTTGGATGCAGAAGCAGTACATATGATCGGCATATGTTTTACTGGTGTGAACGAGAACAAATCTAAAAAACAAAACGCATTCTGATATTCGTTCGGAATTTGTCTGGAAAGTGTCGTAATCAGTTATCACAACTTGTTTACCTTAAGTACAAGAACTGGCTTGACTAAGTGATCGCGTTGTCAACGCAGGATTTTGAATGTAAGTGCAGCAATTCAGGTTCCTATACCCCATGTAGCTCACAAGGGTAAACAAAAATATTCAAAAGAATGAATGGCAGAAAGAATAATTATAAGGAGGATCAGGAGGATTCGATGGAATGGAAGGGTTACAAGGGGTGAATAAATCCGCGTCATTGGAGAGGATTTTGAGACATGTCCCCAACAGTTCCAACCCATTGATCTCTAAGGACCCCAGTCTGAAGGTCGTCACCTTGAAATGTGGCTGAAAACAACAGTCGGAAACTCCGTGAGTGGATGCCAGTTCATACCAGGACCAATTTTGATATTATTCATGCCGTTTTTACTCTGTTAACTAACCGTTTATCGACAGCTAATTGTTTTATTTATTGTACTTTAAAAAAAATGCAGACTAGTAGATTTAAACATTGTCAAAATTCTTCGAAATCGTAAAACTGAGTGTCAAGAATGGTATAAATATGATGCGGAAGATGTAGATCGATTCTGTGCTCCATTATTTGCTGATTACGAAGAGGCAGCTGTCAACTACTACATAAAATGTACGTTATTATTGTTATTAATTTCTCAATCACTTTTTATAAATAGAGAAGAATTGTAACTCAGGTGGATGATTTTGGTGTAGTTGTGTTCCCTTAACTGGATGGTTTGTTTACGAAGCTTTTATTGTCTATTGCGAATACTAATTCGAGACCAGTTACATCCTCAGAGAATTCAAGAAAGCTCACTTCATCTTGATGTGCGCTTTGAATATGCTCTCCAGGAGGAATATGGTAACTGCAAATAAACCATCCATCTCAAAGAACACAGCTAAACCAATTATTTTCATATACTGTGTTGTGCCTAGACTTAAGTTGGTTAGTGAATACGAAGATGTTTAGTGTCAACCGGGAATTTAATTGTAAGTATTATGCCTCATATGAGCAACATCACTGTCAACTTCAATCCTTTGTGTAAAATGTACCAAAATGGCAAGCAAGAAATGTTTTCGTTGGACAACATCCACTTCACAAATCTTTTATTTACTCAGCATATTATTGTAATTTGTGATTTAATTTGATTTGATCGTCCTTATTAATGATTGTATGATTAGTCCATTTTTTATATAGACGTACATCATAGGTGGCGTGGCAACTCACGAATGGTGTACACAGAAGTTGGCATGTACGTATGTGCATGTACTATGCATCTTATCTGATATTTGAGTAACTAAGCTGTAAAACCTTATTAATCAATGTAGTTAAGCGTACGCGTAATTATTGTTGTTGTAGCTCCCGGCAAAAATCCGTCTAACTCAAGTTTAGCTAAAAACCACATTATTTTCAAGCTTCAGCAGTTCTTATTGACGCTGTAGACTTATTAATCAAGTCAGTCTGATGGAAACTTAGTAGTTTCATCAACCAAGTAGAATCACTAATGCTTACACAGAAAATATAGTTTACTGTTTATTATGCTGACTGACAAGTAGTTACAAAGCTGTATTATTATATGAGGTGTGTCTGTCCAGGACCTGAGTTCGCTAGCTAGCTAGCTATCGCCATTACTTTTCAATAATAATGCTTTTTCATTAAAGTAGTTTTGGTTTATTTTATGTGACGATTGAGACACCTTGATCTAGCTTCTTCTTTGTATTCATATGGGAATGGTCTCCCTGTGTGACTCAAACCAACTGTAAAAGACTTCATGAGCTGATGATAGGTTTCCATATATAACATGTATAACACTGTGACTTATCAAAATAAAATCTTATCCATAATGGAGTTCCATTTGACCACTTGCAACTAATTTTCAGGCTAATCATATATAAGCTAACATTGCTTGTCGAGGTAGATAATGGCTTGGCATGTGCAACACGTGTTCTACCCATTTTCAATCGATTGATCTTCAAAACCTCACCGATTGACTTAGGCTCCTTACCTAAACATGTACACTCAATCTCACACTATGTTAAAATGAGTTTCCGTATTAGACTGGTTTATTCGATATAATATACAGTGATACCGTCTCAGTGTGTTCTCTTTTTACTTTCTTATTTCTTTCTTTCTATCTTCTTTAAAGATGGAGAATTGCACTGGTCAACAAACGTTGTGGACGCATTCATGAAACAGAAACATCGCTTGCTATGGGAAAGGCGTTATGGTCCAGTTGGAAGTGGAATGCAAAAGAAGAAGTTAACGGAAGCAGCTGAAAAGGAAACTAAAGAGAAGGATATGATTACCAAATTAAGAGAATTGCCGTCCTTTAGACATGTACCTAAAGAAGTCCGTTTTTGATATATATTCAGCAGTTTTTTTTACCAAACATATATTAGTAAGTGATATGCGCACTTTACGTTTACTTATACACGTTCTCAAGGTATTTTTTTTCCTTCACGTTCCCCAGTGGAACATAGGGCTTCAAGCTAGTGGCTTGAAGTTTCTCTGGCAGTATTTATGTTACAGGATGGGGTTGCTAGCCTCATGCCCAACCTTTCCTCTTCACGAGCATTATTTCTGGCTTAGCGAGGTAAAGGAGTGCGTCGGCCGGGAATCGAACCCCGGACAGTGTGCATGGTCGGCGAGCGTCCTAAACGCTATGCCACCGACGCACTTCTTAAGGTATAAGTTGTACTTATCTCACTGACGTTATTCATACTATTGTCGAATCTGAACACATGATGGAAAGTCAAAAAGTTGGGTGCTTAAAGTAATGGTTCATACAAGTGTAAAGGATGATTGATTTGGCTGGGCATGTTAACTGTTATATTTATCTGGCTAGTTGTAACAGTTTTGTTGTGGATATCAAAATGGTCGTGTTTGGCTTTTATCAAATGGCGCGTACGAGCAAGACACACATGATTACTGATTACAGTTTGAGAATACTGAACGGTCGTGTGTGTGTGCTTTGCTCCATTTTATGGTAGTTAGGCAGTGATTAAAAAAACAAAACCAGTGGTGTTTGTGTCTTTTGTATGTTGAGGTCAACATAAATTTTCATTTCTTCTTCACACATGATCTCTATGTCACCTTCAGACTCTCAACTCATCAATTGTCTGTCACTCGAGTTCCACCCGAGGGCCTGCTGTTTGATATGTCACTTGAAAGTCTAACAATGGATCTATAAAATTTATGTCGAAGTATTTAAGTTTCTTTCGATTATGAGGGTGGTTGTAACGAAGATAGAGATTGACTACTTGTCTTTGGTTATCAAATGACAGCGATTTGTCTCATTCAATGATCTATTCCAGTTGGATAAAACTGTCTTGTATTCCAGCACATTAACTAGTACGCATCATCTTTCAACACTGAAGGTGAGTTGTAAAGTTCCTCTACTTTGCTTAGGTTTAGGTGATGCAGTTCCATTCTTCTTGGAAGTATTTTTTTTCGGTTAGTTTTTCTAATAAGCCCAAATAATTGACGGGTATGAGTCTTTTGCTTTCATGACTCATCACTCCTTAGAGGTTATTCCAAATGCTCAGATTTTGTTGAAATAAATTTCACTCCTTATAAATAACGTAATCATACCATTACGAACAGGATTACATTTTCGTAACTAAATTAATCTCCATTTACCAGCATCACCGCCACCACCCTATCCACCAACCTTTTGTTGATATTTCAGTAGAATACACAATGTTAACATAATAATCACTCATTGAAATCCTGATAAGTGATAAACAGGATGAAAAAAGCCGTATATATTATTGTTGATAATAAGAGACAAACTTGGGCACTAAGATATTTAATATGCAGACCTCACAGTGGGTGTGAGGGCTGGGATACTACAAGAACGCCTAGACCGAAGCAGATGATTGTCTTAAAGGGGAAGGGCACTTTCCCCTGAGATTTTGACTTGAATTCTGGTCCACAAGACAGTGCAGTAGCGTCAGGCGCTACGTTCCCATGGTTTCCGGTGACCGAAACAGACTCACACGCCAGTGATCTTTTCGGATTCTGTAGCCGATGTACACCATCGTTTTGGAATCGCGATTTTCCAGCTCTGCTAGTTAAGACCTTCGCGTCTACCAGTCCAGTTGTAAAAGTCAGATGTTGACATTCGCCCTTTCACTTTTGTGAGGAACACAGCAGCCTCGCGAAGGCAGTGAATGGGACTTGAATGGCAAAGACTATGAACGCGTGGCCAAAATAGGGCATTTTGAGAGAAAGACTGAAGTCTACCCACTCCCAGCCGTATCAGGTTGTTCACGGGTAAAAACGAACCGTACGAACTCTAACACAAAGTAAATAAGCTGCCTTTTTCTCTGTTTTTAATATGAATTCAAATACAGATAAGGCCATGCATCCTAAATATGACAGGTGAGACACTATCTGATATTATTTAGTCCTATTGCATGATGTGGCTGGATCATGCGTTACTCATACTTACACTCCACTGACCACCTCATTGTGCTGTGATTAAACTGGAAGAAAGCAAAGGGTGATCAATTCATATAGTCTTGGACTGTTATTAGCTGTAGCCTTTTCGTTTAGACACAATGACTGCCTAGATTGTAACTGTAATATCTTACTTTGTTATTTGGTGGAGTTTTCTTTTCTGCTGTCTGAAAGCGTTCCGCGACTTTTGGTTATATGTTATTTCCACTTCTTTATTGTCCATTTTATGAATGTCCTAGAAATGGAGATATGAAGTGTGGGCAGTGATGTTAGATTTTGTATAGGTGATGTCTCTATGTAACTGGAATATAATTGGCGCCGAATAAATTTTGACGTGTGGGATCGGGACAATATTATAACAGTAACCCACGAAATTTACTATTAGTGTGACTCATGAGAGAAGCTGTAGCCAAATCAGTAGTTAGGAGTCTCTCAACCGGAATAAATCTTTCACGTACTAGGTTATATTTCCCACTTATTGCCCGAGTCGAGGTTGGCTCAGCGGCTTTCAAACCCTGAAAGGGTGAGCACCTAAGTGCATGAATGGACTACACTTCTCAGTAAGCACTAGAAGCTGTTGGTTAAAAAAAATTATCTCACAAGTGTTCTCATATTTTGTCTTTCCTTAACTTTCTCATGGTGTTGACTGTTAAGGGTATATATCCAGAAAATCTAGTAGACGCTTTCCTCTTGGATTTTCAAACCTAATCCTCCTTGAGACGACATCCCTCTTTTAGAGAGAAATAGTTTTTCTGGCGTGATTAGTGCCTTATCTATTAGTGCCCCCCCCATCTACTTCAGTCGATGGAAATTCATAGCACAGACTAGCCTACCCATCAAATTCAGTAGTTCACGTCATATTGAAACATGGCACAAATCTATGAATTTTCAGCTTATTATTCTGAGATATTTGGGTTGGTTTTGCATTTGGAGCACAACACAAGGTTTCAAGCTTTAGCTCTGGAGTTTCAGTAGCATTGAGCAGGATTGTTAGCCTCACACCCAACTTACTACCGGCCGGGAATCGAATCCCAGACTATGATGTGTGAAAATGGTGAGTATTCTCCCACTGAAACAGCAATGCACGAGATATTTAGGTAGGTTTAGGTTATTCAACTGAAGTCATCAAAAGATCATAATAATTGGAGATGTTTAATGATGTAGTCCGACATTGTTTATATTAGCGGAGATATATCCCCTCAAAGTATGATTTTCAAAATTGGTGAACATTTTCATTAGTCCAGGTGTAGTTACTATTATTCATTCTTGTACCCGCACGTGTTCGATATACTATCATTTCTGTATCTGTTCTTTTCTTTTATGTTGTTTTTCCGAAATACGGTAGTGCGTCGGTGGCACAGTGGTTAGGACTCTCGCCGACCATGCACATGGTCCGGGGTTCGATCCCCTGCCGGCGCACACCCGATATCTATGGTCGGCCTGAATTTGGGCTACCGATATCCATGCTGAAAATTCCACACTTGGACTGAAAATACGGTGTGGAATCAAGCTGTAAATCAAAATAAGATTTCATCATGAGCTGACATCGGTTAGACAGTAATAATCGTGTTTCTCTCACACCACTACCGAATATGCCTCACCATTACCCCCCCAACGCCAATGAAAACTTACATTCTGTTGACTATAAATACATTAGTATGTCACCTTGTTACCTATCCACATTTAGTCTAACGTTCTGAATGACTGTACATTTTAGATACATTCAATTCACGGTGTTATTGTTATGTTGTCGCCACTTGTGTATATTTTGCACTACGTTGTGGTGTATGTGTATAGGGCTGCTGAGATCGACACGGATGCGGTGATAACGAATATCGCTGGTCTAACGCTGACAACAGTATACAACGGCTGCATGTTCCCTCAGCCGGCACTAATTAAGCGAGAACACACAATGATGTGAGGTGAGAAATATATTTCAGTATCAGCCATAGTATCTTTACAAAAAGAAACAATAATACTTGTAAACATACTGACTGGTTTCAACGTAGAACTTTGCACAGATATGCAGCAGTACGAGTTGCCACACTCCATTTGGCACACAAAGCAAGAGAAGAGAGTCAAGAGAGATTCAAAAGACAGATAATAAATAGAAGTGTGAAGCAAAAATAATAGTAATATGGAAGAACAATTGAGTTTTATTGGACATGACAAGTCACAAAGAGTGAATGCATCTGTGCCAGCCATTGAGAACGATTTTAAACCATATTACCAATGGTTTCCAGTCTCCAGTGGTTGCTACCATCCCGAGTCAGAAGGTCTACACTTCCCTACGTGACTGACTGGCTGGCTGGCTTAAACTAACTGTTTTGGATAGATATATACATAGCCAGTGAAGTAGGCATGAGGGATGTCCATGAAAACGTGTATGAGTAGCTAATGGCATATGCGTAAGGGAAGATAATCATAAAAGGATAATCCATTGTTTGTCTACACATCAATTATCTAACGGAGTATCATTCTATCTTCTACATGTACCCCAATACATTTTCTGATATAATCTTCATTTGCCTGTGATGGTTACTTCAATATTAACATTCATGGATTTTTAACTATTATCGAAAACAACTGTTCACTCAAGCATCATCTTGTTCAGATACACTTTTGTGTGCGAGGTTCTATGATGACTAACATTTTCTGTCCCATCAAGACTGAATCGATACATCGAATTCACAATTTGCAATGTTACACACAGTTCAAGGGGTGAAATTTTTTCACTACAGTTTCCTTTGGAAACTAAATTATTCAGATCACAATTTGTGATCTGCTTGATACCATAAGTGGTAATCATAAAAGCAAGCATGTTTGCATAAAACTGTATTATTATTATCGTTTCCTTTAATTCCTAGAGGAACATAGGGCTTCAGCCGTGCGTCTCCATTGCGTTCGGTTCTCTGATAGAGTCTCCACCTGGCTCCAAGTCTGCCCACACGTTTCCATCTCCTCTTCACATGACCTCCTCCAAGTCACCTTCAACCACTGACGACCAACTCGCCGCTTCCCATTCAGTCGGGTTCCACTCGAGCAATGGCTTGTCTAGTGATGTCACTCACTTGATGGTTTCCTCAGAGTATGGCCAGCCAATCCATCTCCATTTCCTCCTGCCTATTTGTTTCACAATCGGTTCCTGCTGTGTTGGTTCGCTCATTGCCAGAGATCCCTCTCTGTTGCTGATCTTTTCTGGCCAGTCATCTGATCTTGAGTAGTATTGAGCAAAGACAGCTAGCTGTTAATGAAGGTCTGTAGTTTGTGTGAGATGCTCTTTATGAGGCGCAGTGCAAGTCTCTGATCCGTATGTTAAGTGGCACTGACTGACTTCACATTGGAGTTGAAAATCCGGATCTTATCTTCGTTTTGATGCTGAGTGCTGTTGACCTCCACACAGACTTGAGAGTAGTGAAAGCTTGTCTTGCTTTCCCGATCCTCGCTGCTTTGATATCCTCGTCAGTTCCATCCGCCTGTAGTTGAAACGATGCTTCCCAGGTCGGTAGGCAAAAGAGGTTGTTTCTTTCAGGTTCCTCGCATTTATGCTGATCGTTGTCTGTTGTTTTGTTCTTGCCCAGGAATCTTCATCACCTCTGTTTTCTCTATGTTCACCTGAAGTCCTATCTTCTCTGGATGCTTCTTCTGCCAACTTGTTGCTTTTTGCTTGCATATTTTCCAGTTTGTGGGAAATCAGACATGTATCTCATCGGCGAAGTCCAGATCCTCCAAGTCTCTTTTTGTGTGAGTCTATTTTATGCCTGTTTCCTCATTGCCCGCCGCTGTTTGTCGCATTATAAAACTGTATACAAGTAATTAACCCAATCAATGCGCAGCATACAGTTTTATGCAAATAAGACTGAATCTATTGATGCATTCAACGATTCCACTACACATAACCTTTAAATCAGAGTCAGTTTATAACAGGGTGGGGAGGTGTTGTGCTTCACAGTGCCTTCCAACCATATGTAGATTACGGATTCAAATCCTCTCCCATCATCATCTACGGAAGTGTCAGCCAGCAGCCAGCCAGGTGGTACTACATTAGCTTTTACACACAGTAGGTTTGGTTCAGTGCCAATTGCTTGTTTCTGTTGTGTAACTTAATTTCATTCTGTTTATGTTTATTTATAACAGTCCTCTTGTAACGTATTTTGATAGCGTCAATCATTTCAGTTTTCCCTCTTTTTTTTCCATTCAGGTCCTTCGAAAAGTAAATTGGCTGTTCCATTCAACGTGTCCAGCAGTATGCATCTATGTATGATGACTTCCCTAGTTCACAATGCTTTTTTGTACCCCAGTCTCCTCTTTCTCAGTATGTGTACACACCACCTGTTGACTTAGTTAAATTAGTAAATGAAGAATTATGCAGATGATTTGTTCTTTTTTGTTGTTGTTGTTATTGTTGTTGGATGAATTGTTATTCAAGTATTCTCTGCTGTGAAGAAGATCCCCCTTTTGTAGTTTTGTGTATCACCTGAGAGACATAGCCAACAGCAAACAGCAGCTTAGTTTTAATTAAAATTAAATTAAACTCTTTTTCATATATTTAGAATATGAAAAAAAAGTCTTAGGATAAATTAATTCATATGAAATATAAATTTGAAAATTGAAGTTCCTCTTTTTTTCAACTGAATAAAGCGAAATAATTAGTTAGGTAGGGAAGGGAAGTTAATCTATGAGGCTGTGAAGTTACATTGACTGAGGTGACTAGGACATGTGTTACGCATACTGATGATCCACCGTTTCTCTCGACGAGCAATTAGCTGATGTAGGATTAGGTGGAATATTTAAACCTGACATTAGTACATGGATTCTTAGACAATTGGCTTGGGTCAGCCACATAGAGTGGGATACACTATTACCAGGTTGGGGTCTTCGGGATGCAAAGAACCAATGACTGAAGATTGTTGGTGATATGGCTTGCTAGAGCATTCACTCTTTGCAGTATTCACTCGTTAAATCTTAATTTTCCCATATTACATTTTTTCTCGTACACACCTGCTCATTATTATTCTTTGAATTTGCTTTTCTCTGCATTTGTGTACTACATGGAGTATGGCAACTTGAATCGCTGCACTCTTGTACAGGATTTTATGTGGAAACTCAGTCAGTCATTATGTCACCATGGTGATACAAGTGGGTTCACCTTATTGGAGCATCTCTCAGCTGTGGATTTCATTGACTGTGATACACCCACCTAGAAACTCTGACAGGTATCTGCGATTTTACTCACCCTCAATCAGTGCTATAATGTAGAGGACGGTGAGATTTTGCGTTTACCTCCTATTGCCTTGTTCCACAACATAGTGTACTTATTATCCAAGCGTCTTGAGTTTATGAGTTTTTAAAATGTTGAGATTCTGTCAATCGCAGCAGCCTATCTGCACAAAATGAGTGATATATATGTCAAATGGGAAGTACGTGGGCAGCTGTTACTTCCCAGCGGTCCACACAATGGAAGTTGATTTCTTCTTGGGGTACCTGAAACATAAGGAGCATAGTATCGCGGAACCCCAGGAGACAACTGGTTAAAATAAGGCTCACACGTCTTGTTCGAAGTGGTTTCCGGAGTTCCATCTGTAATAAGATCTTACTACCGGCTGCGGACAGCCGCAAGGTATGTTGAAATGTACAATTTTCGGAGTCGACATTTACCAACATCCCTTTCCAGAGCGAAGAAGCAGCATAGCTGGTATGCAGATCATCTGAGGGACACACCGTACTGCATGATAACTGCATCCACACATGATTTGTTTTTCCTGAATCCAGTTCTAGACAGAGTTTTGCATCCAGAGCATCTTGTAATCTCTCGACGATAATGCAGCCCAATATTTTGCTTGGCGTTGACCATAGTGTGATTCTGCGCCAGTTTTTGCAAAGGCTTAATTTTCGTTTCTTTGTAAGTTTGACAAGATAGCCCACTTTTCATTGGGTATGTATCTTCCATACTTTCTGCAATAGTGGCGTGAGGATATCCTCTAAGGTTTCCTATTTTATTTTCAGTGCTTCCGTGGGATTTCTGTCTGCCCCTGCTGGCTTCCTGGCATTCAATACTTCTGCTTTTGTTTGGGGTTTAGTACTCATTCGCAGTTCTGTAGTTGCTGTTGGTATTTCTGAACAATTATCAAGTGGTGGTTAGTTCAAGAGTCCTTCGAAGTAACTAACGTATTGTTTCCTTTGCTCATCTTTGGCAATTAGATTCCCTTAACCATTTTTCATTGGATTCATTCGCGTTGATCTCCTTCCGGATGGCGACCTGCTTATCTGATGTAGTGTTTCGAAATCCCTCCTACCTGCAGCTTGTTCTGCTTCAGTCACCGGTGTGTTGTAGAATAGTTTTTGGCCTTTCTTAACACTTCACTTCTTTATTCCGTGGTTTGTACATTGGACTCAGTTTCTACTTTCTTTGTGCATCATTGTGTTCCATCATCCCTCTCTCTGCCAGCTTCTACATGTCTGTAGAAAACCATCCCCTTTCTTGCCTCTCTCCTTTTTAAAACATCTGTACATGTTTCCTCCTACTTCATTATTATAGAGTTCCTCCACGCAGGTTTTCTTATTGATGCTACACAATGTCTTCGACTCTGCTGTGACGGCTGCAGTAAATGTGTCTTTTGCAATCTCGTCCTTTAGTTTTTGAGTGTTGCACTTGGACTGTGGTCTACCTCCAGCTTCTTTGAAGGCTTTCAACTCGATCTTAGAGGTTTCTTGTACTAAACAAAATATTTGCTTCCCTTCTCAATTTTGTGTGCAGCAGACGCTGTGTTTCCACTTTCTTGAGATTGAAATGAAATCTATCTGAGTTTTGATGTGTCCATCTAGTGAAACCACGTCACTTGGTTTATATCATTGCGTTTGTACAAGCTGCCACGAAACACTAAATCACTGAAGGCAGAAAAGTCTGCAAAAAGTTTTCCTTTTCATTCATTTCTCCGAAAGCCTCTCGGTAGATGATGAGTTGTCTTCCTATATTGTTGACTCACAGTGCATTCATGTCATTCATTAGGATTTTGATGTCACCATCTGACTGAAGTTTTGTCTATTACTGTTCACAATTGTCTGAAGAAGTCTCCCTTCTTCTCTACTGGGTCTGCGTTGTTTGTAGGTGGGTAGCATTGCATAATTCTAACTTTCCTTCCTTTTGAGTTGAATCTTGCTGTCATTATCCTGAAGGTGATTGGTTTTCAATGCCCTTGGTGACATCATGATGGCCACCCCATCAGTGTGATCGTGGTTGCTGTATGGATGATTAGGGTAGATTTTTGAACTCTACAGTTAAAAAATTTGGAAAGTCTACTTCCATTTCATCTGCTCTCAGATTCTGAGCACTTCTGTGCCCTTTCTTCTCATCTCTTTGGCAATCTGAGTAGTCTTGTCAGCTTAGGATACTGTAGGTACATATCGTGTCCCCATATCAGCTAACTGGCTTCCCAAAGATTTTCACCAACCCGTATCATTCCGCCTCTCCGATTCCAGCGATGAATAAGTTTATTTCTAATATTCCTGTCTATTGAAGTTTTTTTAGCGGTTGGATTGGTTCTCCTAGGGTCGCTAGTCCCATGCTTAACCTTCCCTCTTTTTCGGCGCTTAGGACAGGGTAGTAAACTAGGCAAGCTTTCTAAATTACGGGTTGCTTCACAGTTCTGCGTGTCATCCGTTGTACAGGGGGCCATTCTTACTGTTACTCAATCAACAGTTTCTTAACTTTGGAAAGGGGTGGGCGTTTCGCATATCTTCATAGTAGACACACAGGTTATGGGGTGAACCAAACAATAGATGCAACGGAAAATGTCAATATCAAGTTTTACCTTTAAGTCTTCATAAACAACTAAAATAAGTATGGACTCAGCAGGGTAGTTGAATAAGTGAATAACACACATGTAACAGTAACCGTGTATATTTCCACAATAACCAACCTAATAAATAGCCTTCATAGGAAATTATGCATTACGTACAAACAAAAAAACGTTCGCTTTTAGCAAAGAATGTACATGTGATGATAGGGAGAAGTGTTATTTGTAGTTTGTAAAAGTTTGTATTGAAAGGTTATCCATCTTTGACCATAGGTATCTGCGTTTTGTGTCTCGTTTTATATGTTAAAATATTATTAGAAGTTAGGCGCAGAATGTTAGGTAAGGAGGGGAAATCAGTCGACGAGGCTGTGAAATTACATCGACTGAGATGGTTAGGACATGTGTTACGTATGCCTAGTCATCGCCTTCCTCGACAATGGGCAATGTTAGCTGATATAGGGTCAGGCTGGAAAAGAGCTAGCCGGTGGCGGTCAAACGAAAACATGGCCTCATCAGTCAATGAAATCTATAACAGTTAGTCTAAGCCAGCCACGTAGGAAGGTGTAGACTTCCTGGTTGGTTGCGGTCCTCGGGACGGTAAAAGCCAATGGTTGGAGACAATTGGTGACATGGCTCAAAATCGTTCTCAATGATTGGCCCAGATGCATCCACTCCTCGTGACTGACTTATGATTTCCAATGAAACTGTTTTGTTCTTCGTTATTACTATCCCTTTGTCTCACACCTCTGTTTACTGTCTCTCTCTAATCTGCATTTCTCCTACTTTCTTCTCTTGCTTTGTGTGCCACATGGAGGGAGTGTGGCGACTTGAACTGTCGCACATATGTGCAAAGTTCTATGTGGAAACCGGGCAGAGTGTTAAGTTAGGAGGGGAAGTCATTTGATGACATTGTGAAACTATTTCATGGGGGGGGGGACGTGATGGTTTGATAAACTCAATGGATGTTCTAACCATCTCAGTCGATTCAGTGTTGGCTGACATAAAATTCTATTGCGTGTAAGGTAGGGAGGTGTACCGCCTGACTGTCTAAGGTATTCGAGACACTAAGATACAACAATGACTGGAGATTTGGTGACATGGGTGTAAATTGTTTTCACTAGAAAAGTGTGGTAACTTAAAGTGCGTTGTACTTCTGTGCAAAGTTTGAATTCAAAAACTTCCGGTTACAAGGTTACCAGCTCATAGGCTATTCAGCTTCTGAGAACCTACCCAATGGATACGTGCTGATGAAGAGTCCCGAACTGGGACGAAGTAACTGTCGAGTACTCCCTGGTTTTCTAGTGGTTCTCTAACTGATGTCGTCTCGTGACCACATCTATAACCAAACAAACGCCTACAAAGCAACACTTCAACTGACAAAAGAATTTTAGTAGCTGTACTGATTATTATTCAATAATTATGTCATTAAAACATTGTTAATGGGATTAGCTTCTAGTCAGATTATCATTGTAATGATGTTTCTCATATTATTGCTAACTTCTATTTAGGTTGCTACAACCATTTGTTTATGAGTGTTAACACACAAACGAAAGACAGAGTGAGCCAAGTGTGATACGATCGGCACGTAAGTAACTATCCAACTTGATGGTGTATGGTATTTTGTTAATCGATGACACTTGTCTGAAATCAATTTCAGGCGCTTCTGTCGTTGAATGTAGGTGAACGCTCATTTGCAAGATAATTGGGACTGTTATTCTTATAGACACTGTGTAGTAGTATATTGTACCCTGGATACAAATAAGGATGAAGTGAATTATAT